GTTTAGGGGTTTAGGGGTTTAGGGTTTTAGGGTTTTAGAGGTTTAGGGGTTTAGGGGTTAGGGTTTAGGGTTTAGGGGTTTAGGGTTTAGGGGTTTAGGGTTTAGGGGTTTAAGGTTTCGGGGTCTAGGGTTTAGGGTTTCGGGGTTCGAATGGGGTTTTGGGGTCCCATAACTGTGCATAGTTAGAATAAGGAACCCTGCAAAGAATACTGCCAACAGGTATTTAGGCCCCTATATCATATGTTGGGCGCAGGGTGTCTGACTCCTTCTCGAGCAGGTTGCGGAAAACCTTCAGTGAATCCACGTCCTCTCGCATGGGCAACGCCTGAGAGCCAAGGGGATTTGTGGATTGAAGAAAGCTAATTTGGGTTTAAGGTTGTTTAGGGTTTAAGGGTTTAGGGGATACGGTGGGTTTTAAAGGTTTAGGGGATACGGTTTTCAATAATTGCCGATACCAAGAACAAGGCTGCAGACGCAAACACCTATGGGCCTTCTTGACAGAAGTGCTGAATCCCACAATATAAGCAAAGCGCTGACAATGTTCAACTGTTGGACATGCGCAGTTGCATGATGCGTAGCCTGAAGGACGAGGACGAGGAGGAGGAGGCAGCAGCAGAAGCGGCAGCCGCAGTTGCTAGCAGCAGCAGCAGCAGCAGCAGTAGCAGCAGTAGAAGCAGTAATGTGAAGGCATTAATAATTAGAATAGGGTTTTGGGGTATATTATACTTTCAATAATAATAGTACTGGGTCTTCTTTAGGCAGCTATACTAGTTGTCGTCGTCGTCGCCTTTGGCCTCGTCCCCGTGCCCGCAGTCATGGTCGGAGCACCATGACGCTTAATGGGTATTTTGGGGGCTCCTTATTGGAATATATAATGGGTATTTTGGGGGTTCCTAACATATAATGGGTATTTTGGGGGGTTCCTTATTAGAATATATAATACAACATGCCTCCAAACCCTATTCTGATTTATTAAGGCCCCTATATTACTTTGCAACATTGCCGACTTCTGTGACGACGCCCACAACTGCCAGAGTCGGCAGGTAGAATCAGTACGCCCTAAACCCGAAAGCCCTGAAGCCCCAACAATCGAAATCCTCAAAACCCCATACCCTAAACCCTAAACCCTGCCTAAG